TTTATTTAAACGTGCATTTCACGGTTGCTTTTTTCCAGCCACTCCACAGAAAGTTGTTCAAATATTTTGCTCGATATGTTACCATTGAGGTCAGTAAAATCTCTGGTTATGGATCTCATTTTGGAGGAGACTAATGAGGTGGTTCAGTGATGGGAAATTTGCCAGTGTTTTGGAGCTTCTACCCAGAAAAGCAGCCAAAAGTGTAGATGCTTCTGCAAACTGTATCCAGGCTCCTTGGATCTGTAGAGCTGGATGGGAAATATCACAAGAAAAGCTTTTCTTGCAGAATTTTTGCATTTCCTATCTTAACCCAAACCAGGAACTGCAGGCATGGGAAAAATTAATAAAAAAAAAAGAAGCCAAGGTTGAATTAAGTTAAGGTTTGAATCAACAGTTACTTGTACCTGTTTGCTTACCAATAACTTAGGTCATTACTTCACTGTCTAAGCCATCCCAATATGTCCTCTTTCCTCTTACTAATTATTATTGGGCTTATGGTGGCATGACCTCCACTGCCTTAAAGCTTGTGTGGCCATTTATATGCTTGCAAAGCGTGCCCAATCATAATAATAGGATTTTACTCAACCTTCTTGCAGGTGTAAATGTCTACATAAGGGGGTAAGCAGTAGAGAATTGGACCCAATTGTATTTTACAAAAGCATCTCCTTGTTTTTTCTGTCTCTGTCTTTTTTGTTTATGCATTCAAGAAAAAACTCTAGGGGTGTAAAATGGAAACTGCAATGTCATCCATGAGTTTCATCAAAGACCTTAGGAAACTTTCAAAATGATTATAATCTTAACCATTCAACTATAAAATATCTGATGACCTACAAAACATCATAACTCAAAAGCTGCTCTGTTGCTTGATCCTGATCTTACATTAGTCTGAGCCTGCTCCCAGTGTAGTCAAAGCAAAATTTCCACTGACTTCAGGGAAGTCATACTGGTCCATTATGTTGCCAAGTGTGCACTACACATGACACACAATGGAAAAAATAGCGTCTCTTTTTGCTATCTCCATCAAACACTGAATGCAAAATTAATTATTAAAATTCCTGCCTGTGGCTATGGGTTTTCCCAATTAATATAAAGTCAGCATCTGGCCCAAATTCAGGATTTAGACTGTATGTTTTCCTGGCTCCAAAACAATGCACACTTCTCAGTCAGCTCCCTGCTCTCATTTTTTTTAGTACCAGTCTCCATTGGCTTCCATTTGCTTTACCTCTTTCATCCACAGTCTGACTCAGATGAGGTCATCCACTTCCATATTCTAGCATAGTTCTAAAGAATTGTACAGTCGTGTGATTGGTTTAGCAAGTGATAAGGCAGAAGTTTAAAAATCTATGTTTCCATTTTTTAAAAAATGTTTGCACTTCACTATGAAATACCAGGTATTAATATTCAACAGGAAAACCTCAATTACCATGCAGACTTTGTAGAATTAAAAAAAGTTTAGAATTTCTGAGTTTCTTTATAAATAAATTGCTGAATGAATAAATTATAGTGGTTCATCTTTCCTTTCAAACAATGAAGGAAGTTTTCATAAGAGTGTATCATACTTCAGTTTTGGTGCTTTAATGAAATGAGTGTGTACTAAATGAGCTCTTGTCAGTGTGCTGTTGTCACGCTTGTACCTAATCACTGTTTTCTCTCAGACTGTAAACTGTTAGGATTGGTTAGAGTATTAAAGAATGTGCCTTAATTGTAAATGTCTATTAACGTTTTTTCCCCAAATTAGATACATTGGTAAATATGCAAGTTGACATATTTTACCCAGACACAGCTCTTTTTTAAAGAAAATGTCAAATTTTGTTGTGTACTATGGCCCTGATCCAACAAAGCACTTAAGCATGTGTTTAAATTTAAGAAAGTTATAGTCCCATTGACTTTAAAGGACTGCTAATGGGCTTAAAGTTAAGCACACACTTAATTGTGTTGCTGTGTCAGGGTCATTTTTGGTATGAGTGCCTATGTAAATTTATACAGCTCCCTTTGGAAGGATTATAAAAACCTTGTGCTTTGGGGTTTCAGCCAGCCTCTAACTACTGCAGTTAGAAGGAAATTTTCCTTGGTAGAAGTTTTTCCCACTTCTGCTCCCTGCAAGATTCGTTACTCTGAAGCAACTGGTACTGGCAGCTGTCAGAGACGAGCTCCTGAACTAGAAGGACCTATAGGCTGTCCCAGTGTGGCAATTCCTTTGCTTCCTAATACTGTAGAGTACAAGCACCTGTATTTTATTTCTGTGAGCAGCCTGCCGGTGGATAAGATGCTGTTAGTGCACTTGGACTGTTGTGTGAGGTGCCAAACACTTCTGGTTTCTTTGGATTTCAGTGGGAGCTGAGGGTGCTCAGCACTTTACAGGACCCAGTCAGCAATTAACAGGATCAAGCCAAAGTTTGGGAAGCTCTGCTTAAGTAAACCGCAAACACTAGCAAGCTTCATAATCCCAGGCTCCCTCTACACTTCATAGGTATCATACAATTAATTGGTTAATTGCACAATTACCTCGAGACCAGCTACATGTGCAAAGCATCTGTCACACCATAAAAAGCTGTATCCAGCTATAAAGTTAGACCTCAAAAATGTCTACTAACTTTATAGCTGGTTGCTATCACACTTTAATGTGCATGTGTTGCATGGTCTCCCCTGCAGCTGGGACTCCTGTCAGCTTGACAGGGCTCCCAGCCACAGGGGTGCACCAGGCCCACCCAGGCCTTGGAGTCCCACAACTGAGGGGACTCTCAGCCCCAGCAGCCATGGATTCTGGGTCCTGGCAGCACCCTGTGGCGATCGTCCAGCCTTGGGGGTGCATGACACTCCCAGGGCTTAGAGACTGTAGCTGCTGTGATCTCCCTGCCTTGAGGAGTTTTGTATACCCCGGGAGCTGGGAGAATGCCAGGGGGTGTGTTGGGTGTCTTTGCAGCTAGGAGCCCCTCAGGTGAGGAGGCTCCCAGCTGTGGGAGCTTGCTTCTTGCCGGTTAGGGGGAGCCCAGGATCAGACTCCGCTGCACCAGCAGTAAGGTGTGATGGGATCTAACGTGCAATCCCACAATTGTGCCTCCTGCCATGCACATGTGACATGGTGGGAGGTACAAATGTGTGCACTGTGCAGTAGGTCCCATCATACTTTTACCTGTACATGCAGAGGGGCCCCTAGATACCAGTACCTTTTTGGGGCAGTTGGGGTAGTTCAGCAGCAGCTTCCTGAAGGGTGATCAGCTCCCTCCTAACACTGGTTAGCAGGTGCTCTTTGGAAGAAGAGGAAGCTTACTATTCCATCTCTTCCACAATAAATGCTATTCAGGGAATAGCCAGAGAATCTCATGGGAGTATCTAAAAGAATAATAAGTCATATACTGTTCAGTTCTCCTTCCCCTTCCTGTCTTGGTCTGCATTGGCAGAAAGTAGTTGGCTTGACACAGTAATCTGTCTTCAGAATCCACCACAATGTGCTGATATTTTCTAGGTTTAGAGTAAACACAATTTAAAACATTGGTTTTGTCCCAACCTTCTGTAACTAGCTGTTTATAAATTATTATAAATATGTCTCTCTGCAGTAAACCAATTTCTTTTATTAAAGAAGGGGAGGAAAAACTTTTGAAACATATAGATGTTTAACTTGGATCCTAGTAAATTAAGCATCCCTTTTTACACAGATCTTTAGGAAGGAACAAAGAGTAGTTTTTATTTCCCTATCTCCTACAGATCAGCTCCATTTAGGAAGATTTAAAAGGAAATCAGTATATTTTCTTTCTCCAACTGCTTCAGACCATTAAGGAAATTGCTTATAATATTCTACATTTAACTTGTCCAATGTATCCCACACCAACCCAAGGTAAATTCATTTGTTGAACTCAGCCTGCTTGCAGTGGTCTACTTTTGAATATTGTTATCTGGCCCTCAGAGTAATAGAAGGTTATGAACAGGGCCGTCCCTGGGGTGAATCGGGGTGACCACCCCAGGCCTCATGCTTTGAGGGGCCCTGCAGGCATTGCTGTATGTGCCCCGCTACAGCCGCTATGTGCTGCCGCTGCCAAGCGCTGCTGGCTCTGGGTGCTTGCCACCATCCTCCCCGCCCTGCCGGCTCCAAGAGCATGCCACCCCTCTGTCAGCTCTGGCCGTTTGTCCCCCCCCACCCACTGCTGACACTGCCACCAGCTTCTGTGTGCGGTTGCCATCCCCACTCCCTGGCCCTGCACAGGCTGATATGCCCTGGGCCCTGCACACCCCTAGGGATGGCTCTGGTTATGAATGAAAACCTATAGTCAGTACATTAATGACCTGTAACACAAGATGTTATTGCCATTAATGAGGAGCATAAACACACACAGATAAATTGATAGATTGTCCAATGAGCAATTAATCACATCATCTTCTTGCATTATTAAGTCTAAATGGCAGCCTGCAGTGTTATGTACTAGAAATGGCTAAATTTGAAAAAGTGCCTTTCACCATCTCTATTAAACATTATTGCTATGATGACCTATGGCAGTCTTTCTCAGGTTTCTGAAGAGAATGCAAAGGTACTTTCTGCCTTATATCTGGCTTTGCATGCCTAAAGAACACGGAGTGTTTGGTGTGGAAGTTTGGGCTTTTTTAGTGCAGTTTGGCCCTTTTGAGTGTTCTTGGGGTTTGAGGATATCTTTAGGTTCTGTCCTTTTTTTGCCCCATGTGATTCTTCTTCCTTCTCATTCCTCCCCCACCCCCCACCCCTTTTCTTTTTTGCTTCTTTTTATTTAGTTTTGTGGAATGATGGGAGTCGGAGGCAGAAATGAGAGGAAGTGTTCCTGCAGTGTAATTATAAGATTAGGCCATATTGTACAAGCAAATTTCAGTATTGGCTACGTTCACTAAATGCTCAGTTAGAATGTAGCCATGCTTGTGTTGTAGTAGTTCATTAACATTTCTGTAGAAACGTTATAACCGTACACACATTACAAGTACATGCCACTATCTCCTCCTCCAACATTTTTTAATTGCTATACTCAACTTATTTGCAGGTTTATTCCTGAGCCCTGGTCTCCATGCAGCACAACATGTGGCGATGGCATACAGGTGCGGGAGGTGAAATGCCGCATTCTTCTCACTTTTACTCAGACAGAAGTGGAGCTGCCTGAGGAGGAATGTGAAGACCATAAGCCACTGACAGAACAAATATGTCACCAGGCACCATGTGATAGTGATCCTATCCCGTACACCCCAGAGTTTTCACATGGAGAAGATGGCAATTTGGTTTATGATTGGGAATATATTGGGTTTACTCCTTGCTCAGCCACGTGTATTGGAGGTATTTTAACAATCTTTTTCTTCCGTGGTGTTTAAATTTAATGTTGTCAATGGCTCCTGCAGTTGTCTTGTACTGATGATTTTAGATGGGGTAAAAAACAAATACAGCATGAACTTTGAACTTAACCTGTTTATCTTTGATTAATGATCCCATCTAAAGGTATTTTGGGTTCCACAGGCCTCACAAGGTTGTCCTGGAAATAAAATAGGTATGCCATCTTTAAATGCTTGAAGCAGAAATTGGCTCTATCTAGCCAAGTAAGTTGCAAGAGGTCTGTATCAGGGCTGAGGCAGCAATTAGTTTTTTATTATCAGATGACAAGCTACAAGGTAGCAGTTAAGTTCTCAGATAGTGGTTGGGTTTAGACATGTCCCTGTACATGCAACAAAACAGTGATGAATCTGCTTAAATGGCCTTTGTTCCTTCCCCCAAGTGGTATGCATTTAGTTTTTGATCTAATATTTGCATATCAACAATCCTCTATATTCCAAAATGCTGCCATTTTCTGTGGAATAATGAATGTGGTTGGACAGAGACACGTATATCCATCAATGTGAAGTTCAAGCAGGTTTTTGTGTAGAATTCATTACAGTGTATCTCTCTGTAGGAAGTCTGTGTCTGCAAATAGTTAGGCACATTCCTCCTATGATGTAACCAAATCTCCCACTCATCTTAAGAACATGTTGCTGGCCAGTATTACAAGTGTTGCTACTATATACTGTACTTCACTGCCTGGACATAGAAGTGAATTATGAAGTGCTAAGTGGAAGCAGTGGAATTATGAGCGCACCTGTATGTGACAAGAATGATGACCTAAGTGGGAAGTGAAGACATTTGTACCCACAGAATCAATATAAAATGTAGAAAAGGGCCGAACAGCAACAGTTTGCAAATAGAGACCCAATCTAGTGTTCATAGAAAGGTGCCTCCTTTGTGTTGTTCACCAATTGGAACATTGAAGACAGAAGTTGGGAGGGATGCCCAGACTGCTGTCAACAGAATGGTAAGTGATTGGTGTAAATGGCTCCCTAACGTTTTCTTTAATTGGTGACATTGGTCTACAAGGACACTAATGTACCTGGTTAGAAAAGGTGCAAAGTCTTGCTAAGCCCAGTGGGCTTAATTGGGCATTATGACTGCGTCCACACAAGCATGGACATTTACTTTCCTAGGGACTGTGGCAGACTAGTAGGTGGCACGCCTGTGCTGAGCCACCCACCCCACTGTGCCTGTTCACCTACCAAGTTCCAAGTGCCTCCCTGGGGCACCTCACATCCAGCCAAACCCATTCCTGGAGCATACATGCAAGCCTGGGGTCACTGCTGCCACCACCCAGTGGATCTGGTCTGTCTTTGGTCCTAGGCCGCCTGGGGTACACAGGCCTTGTAGACCTTGGGGGTGCTTGACCCACTGTGAGAATTTGGGGTGCTTCCTTTAGCCTGAAGCACAAAAAGTAGCCTCCCTTAGTCATCCAGACCAAGGGGACACGGAGGCACTCTCCTCTCCCTCTCCTAGTCAGTTCACCATACTTGGTACAATGGAGAACTTTATTGATTACAGAGAGTAGACTTGGGGAAGGGTAGAAGATAGAGAAATATCACAGAATAACCTTAGAGCAAACAGTGTGGCTGGGTAGCCTTTGATTATACATCTGCATTACTGCAAGCTATATATCTAGATAGTTTCCAAATTCATGGTATGTCCATGAGTTTCAAGAGAGAGCCAGAGCCCAAGATGGAGGCCCCTTAACTGCCCTGTTTGACCTCACCTTCTATACCCAATCAGGACAGGTTTTGTTGACTGCTAGCCAATCAATTTAAAAAGCATCACTGGTTACTTGGTGGAGTGACAGGGGCTCCCACCCCTGCCCCTCATGCCATGAGATCACTGCTTAGGACAGTAGTTGTATAAGCAGAGCTGATTGCTTAGTGACTGGAGTGATAGACACCTGAGACTGAGGGAGGGGGACACAGACTAGCCCCAGAGTGAGGAGGAGGCGGCCAGAATGGGATTTCATCACAGGGACAACTAGCAGCAGCACACCTTGTGCTACCGCCAGTTGTCCCCAGGGAACGCCTGTGCCTCATGTCCTCTGCTGCGTGTCAGGTTACCCCAGGTGTGGTAAGAGAGGCTGGATCCAACATTAGGCTGGCCTCAGCAGCCTTACTTGGGGTCCTGGGAGCCTCCTGGGGCTGCAGCAGTGGTGTGCACTACTCTGCTTTTTTTTGCTTTGGTTTCTTTTGACCCCTGGTATCCAGGGATCACCACCTCCCCCCCATGCTGCTCCCTTGCATTGTGGAGAATAGATGAATGTGCAGTATGCACGGCCACGCTCATCTGAACAGGGCATATAGGTGCTAAAGCCCAAAAAGATACGAATCACAATATGTGTCTGTATGAGCTGTTTGGAGCTATGGTAATGACGATCTTATTTTATCTATCTACATTGTTTATTTCAATAATATATTTTAAAGCAATAATGAAAACAGAATTATGAACTAGGAATAAAGGCTTTTACTACCTCCACATTTTTAATCCTCTTAATTTTACTACCTGACCTAAATTTCAGAAGTTATTATGAAGCCTCTGAAGCAAATGATAAAGCTTAAGACCTGATTTTGCTTCCACTATAGCCTAATGAGTATTTTGCCATAGGAGAGGCACAACTAGCAGGGTTTGTGCCCGGAAGAGTCAAGAGAAAGGGGGACCCTGAGTGCCAGAAGAGACGGGTAGTGAAAGCGGCAGGAGTCTTACCTGTTCTGGAAACTCAGTTTGCTGCTGTTCCTATCACGGCATGGTCTGTCCACTCCATTTGTTGCTCCTGCTGTGGCAATGGCATGCGGCTGCTGCTGTGGAGGGTAGAAACTCTCTCCAGGGGGACCATGCTGGTGCCCAACTAAGTTCACAGCCAGGGCTAGTGTCCTGCTCATCCCTCACCCTCCAAGTTACACTACTGAACTGCAGTCTACAATATTTGTCCTTTGTGATTTCATGAGGCAGTTTGACCCAACCTTTCTGTCTATATGTCAGTGTATTGAAAACACTTCTTAGGCGTGTACTGCAAAAGAACCATTTGAAGAATGAGCCAGTGTTTGACATCAAAGGTGTTTCCCTCTATGCTCTTGGGGCTTTGGTGTTATCTCTAGCACCATACACTGAGATATTCTTCATATGTGCTGCTCCCAGGAAATGTGGGAAGTTATCAGTGTTGAGTACTTCCAGAAATCCCTCTGTTCTTATACTACTTAGGTAGTAGTGAGCTTGTCCTGCTATGAGTTCTGTTTGTCTTCCTGCCTTAGCAAATACCTTTGAACATACCACAAGCTGCCTGCAGATAAATAGTTTTTAAAAAACCAGACTTTCTTCTTGTTGTAGATTTTTGCACTGCGCTGGCCAATTATTTTGCTTTGTCTACCAATTTTTCTATTGTGCAGGCACAGAGGACCTGATAAACTTCTTCTCAGTTTTATGTTCAAATCTCGTTTCAATGAGATGAACTGTGTACTTCCAAAAAAAGGAAAATAAGTGTCAGCTAGGTTTGGAATATTGAGAATTAACATAAATAATATTAGCTTCTGTTTCTAGCATGCACGTAGCTAGCACAACTATTAAAATACATCTCTAAGGATATCTGTATCCTTTTCTTTTCTACCCTGCACTTCTCTCTCAGGGCCCACTTTTCCCTGATTGAGGGGAAAATCTGTTGGGTCTGAAAAAGCTACAGACTTGATTGCTTCTTGAGCAAGGATGATAATCTGTATTCAGTATTAGATTTTCCCCTCAAGTTCTTCCACAGACCAGACATTTAATTTAAATTCTTTCCTGGCCCACATCATAAAAGGAGGTAAAACGCAGACAGTAACATTCTTTTAGAGATATAAAAATTATAAAGAAAATCCACTCTAAAACACATAATCAAACATCATCTTTCTCTCTAATTATTTTTACAAAGCTTTTATAGCTATAGAAATTCTAAATGTGTTGTTAACAAGATAGCTTCAGTTTTCCTGTATGATTTCTGCACTGCTTCTATATAAACCATTTTTTGGCTCATCATGCCTGGTATTGGATGTCATAAAATGACTGCCTTTGAGGGCTGTTAGGTTATGTTATGCCTGTTATCATAGTTATTACTTCTGTCATCAGTCTGCTCATAGATGAAAATAGATGTCCTCTATGTTAGTCGGTGAAGCAGACATATTAAAGATCTCAAAGAAACTGCACCATGATCCAAAAGGTCGAAAAATTGACTGTCTATCCTCAGTGCCTGAAAAAAGTTCAAGAAATTGCAAAGTCAGAAGTCCGGTCAGTGGCAAATTTGGAGTTCTTTGCTCATATGAGCCCTTAATCTGACAGACTCGCATTGACTTATTTAATATTTTTCCTGAGTAAAACTGAATAGGGAATTCAATATTTGTCTTTGTATTCCCAGCATGATTTCCCTGCTGGAAGAAATATATTTTTGCTGTAAGGACATGGAGCATATGCATGAAGCAAGATGCAAAATATTGTCTTCAAGAAATAATGTCTGTTATAGAATATGCCGGCCAAAAAGGGAAATTTTTCTTTATATCTGAAATATTTCTTTAGTGTCACTTCCATCATTTAACAAATCCCCTGTGCTTTGAAGGGATCATCAGATCCTAGCATGCCTTATTGGCAGTGCAGAAGGAGCCTGATTCTAAGCTCTACCTGCACCAGCAGGAAGCAAGCTCCCATGGCTGGGGCACTGCAACTTATGTGATTGCCCAGCTGTGGAGGTGCCCCATGCACTCCACTGGGTGGAACACTGCAGGTCATGTGATCCCAGCCACCAGGATGCACCATGTCATTCCACAGCTGGGAGACCACAGCTCATGCGATCTTCCAGCTGCAAGGGCTTGAGCTATGGTCTTCCAGTTGTGGGAGTGTGTGGGCTGCCCCATGGCTGCAAGCCTGTCAGCTGGGAGCTCCCAGGTTTGGGGTGCACATATTCCCGCCCCCCACCACCCAGCCAGGAG